TAAAATTTCGAAGATACCTTCTCTCTTCCAATAATACCCTTATATATAAACTAAACCGAATGTGGTGACCAACTCGGAAAAGCTAACTGCAATACCCAATCAAATGCAGTGATCAAACGAGACCTAATAGCTACGAGGAGTTCAAAGCACGCTCCAGTTCTGACAAAGCTATCATGACTCTCAATACCGACATGTCTCAGCTCAACGAGCATAATGACTCAGTCCGATTAACCGAGTGCTTCATCGACAAAACCAGCAAGCTCCTCAATTTGCCGAAGCTATGTAGTCCGATGAGCCCAAGTTCGTCGACCTAGTGCATCGTCGTGAGAGGAACATCGACCAAAGTCTCTGTAACGACTTAGGTTGACGTCCATGGTGTTCACCAGGTCGCGTTTTGGCTACCTGGTTGATTGGCAAAAAAAGTGCAACGACCTTGGGTCACTGTCACTGCTTACATGCAATGACCAGGCTGCTGCAAGGTCCATTGACCTCCTCGGAATGAGAAGAAGTCTGTGTAGCCCAAAAATATGGTCTAAGTATACCATACACTATAGTATTACTATTTAAATATTATGCATAAATATAATGTGTGTATATATATAATTATTATTATAAAATAATAATCTAAATATATATAATAAAAAAACCTGAAAATAAGTCGATGTTAGAATTTGATTCTATGTCCTTAAGACAGGTTCGCCTTGTTATGGTGCGAACGGACTCGGTGGCATCTATCTCCCTGCAAATCAAAGGAATAGGCGAACTGGCTCGATGTTGTACTCTCTGACTCAAACTCGGACTCGGAGTGACTGACTAAACTTGGACTAAGAGTGACTGACTAAGGCTCAAACCCAAAGACAAAGGCTCGTACCCACAGACACTTATAGTAGAAGAAAAATGAGAGAATTCAGAATTAAAGAAAAGGATTCTGAATTGGAGTGCTTTTGAATGAACCCAAGGGAGGATTTATATAGGCCTCATGGTGCCTTTAGGTTTTAATATTTTTTCGATGTGGGACAAACACTTCCCACATTTTGCAAACTCATTTAGGCTTATCAAACACTATATTTTGGAGCTAATTTCTCATTCACCCGGAAACGGATTTGAGAAAGTAAATATATCACGTTCATTTCCTTGCGGAGAGGAACGCGCTCGTCTATAGATCCGCAAACAATTCTTAGCGGAATCTATTCAAAATCTCACTCAAAGTTTTTGGTTTTAATACCATCATTTCCAACAATTCCCCACATGAATGAAAATTTGCGCAAATTACAAATGAAGAAGATAGTAATACACTAGGAAAGGTTCAAGGCCAAAAGCTATCTATCCCGATACAGTTACTTTTCAATAGTACTCTCTAGTGTCTATATCTATCATATTTCTATTCCTTGCATCAACAGATTCAAACCTAAAATTTACATAGTTAAATTAGATGGTTTGGGTAGTCCCTTCGTTTTTAAATTAAGAAAACTTTCAATTAAAACCAAGAATCCAAATAAACATGTCACGTTACAAATAATTTGCATGAAAGAAAGGTTACACAACACCGTCAAAAACGGTTACATCCCATATGTTGCTCGGACATTTTCCCGACTGTGTCATTTGAGCCCATGTGTCGAATTGCTATGAGATATTATTTATTTTTTGGCAATTATCGTAGACATAACAAGTCTAAATTGAGTTGTAATTTAAATTACTTGTTCTACAAGTCATCAAGTTCAACAGGGATTCCACAACTGGGAAGGAGTTCAAACTTACCTTAATTGAAGAGTTTGTGATGAAAAGGGTAAGTACACTACATTAGGAAGGAATATGAACAAGGTTGGGCATTCTACATTTTCCATGTTAGTATACAATTTTCGTAGAATGAACCAAGGCTGAAGGAATTCGAAATCCGAGTCTGCCAACCTTGAACCGGTTCAGCTTCCTTGAACCGGTTCAAAATGTTCAAGTTTGACACACTGCCAAACTTGAACCGGTTCAACTTTCCTTGAACCGGTTCAAGACCTCCTGTTTGCAATACAACTTTAGTTTCCTTTTTCTAATTAATCTCCCAGTTGGTCTAGAATTGTACCAAATCCTATGCACGAAATTTACCTTATTTTCAGAGGTATTAGGTCATTCTATAATCTATATAAACCATGTCATATACATTGGTTTATTCACGGTTTTTACATTATAATTCAGATATTATTCATAGCCTTAGGAAGTTTATTTCTCTCAGAAAATCAAAATTGATTTTACTGTTGTCTTCCTAGAACCCACATATATTCACCTAGTGAGTCTAGAGCTGTAGTGTTTGAATCCTGATCGTGATCATACAGTTGTATTAACATCGATCAGACATAGCAGATCTTCTTCTACATCATTCAGACAATTGAAGAATAGAAGTAAACGCAATCACACTTTGGAAGGGTTGGAGCATTCGCGGAGTGCTGTCTGATCTACCTGTTACTCTTCTACAAATATCAAGTATAAGCCTGAGATCAAGTTGCTGTTGGACGGGGAGTCGTAAAGCCAGAGGATCGTCAGTGGTTAGTGTGGTGTAGAACGATAGGGTGTGAGTCAGAGTCAAAATTCAGTATACTTTGTTCCAAGTATAGTGGATTGGTTTGCTTTAGACTGCACAAGTCCATGAGGTTTTTCCCATAACAATTGACGTATTTTATCAACTGGGGTTTCCTCGCTAAATCATGGTGTCATCTCTAACTTTATACTTTGCTTTATTTTATTTGCATGTGATTAACTGTTTAATTGCTAAAATATAAAATAAGTAAAGTAGTTAAGGACATAGATCTGTTACACAAAACCTAAAACTTTCCAGTTTACATTCAGCTGCGTACGACTCACAATATGGTATCAGAGCAGATCTCTATACACTGAGTTGATCCTTGTTGGAAAGTTTAGTTTTGTTGTGTTTTTCAAAATTTGTTTTCAACATCATGTCTTATGCGTTAAAAGAAGGTGGTTCTAATCAACGTGGTCTTTTATTTGAAGGAGATAATTACAATTTTTGAAAATCAAAGATGAGAGCCTATTTGCAAAATTCTGGTGGTAAAACTTGGGCAATAGTTGAGTCTGGCTATACACCTCCAACAGTAGATACAACTGTGGATGGTAAAATAGTCAAAGAGTTAAAAGATACTTTTGCTTTTACTGCTATTGAAACTGAGCGTAATGATGCTAATGGCAAAGCTTTATATTCAATTATTAATTCTGTTGTTCCATTTGAATATGCTAGAATTTCTTATTGTAAACTGCTAAAGAAGTTTGGGATATTTTACAGGTTACTCATGAAGGAACTTCAAAAGTGAAGTTGTCCAAAATTCAGTTGCTCTCTCATAAATTTGGCAACATCGTGATGAAAGAAGATGAATCATTTTCTTTTATTCTAGTCTTCTTGAAATAGTTTATGAATTGCGTCATTTAGGGAAAAAAGTTAGTAAAAAAAAAAATCTGTGAAAAAATCTTAAGATCTTTACCTAAAAGATTCCAGATTAGGGTTGAAACCATCTCTGAACATTGGGATTTGACTACTTGTCAAGTTGATGAAATGGTAGGTTCACTAAAAACTTTTGAGATGCAGAATTTTGATTTAAATTAGAAGGAGAAAAATCTTGCTTTAAAATCTATACAGGTTGAGAATTCTGTGAATGATGACTTTGATGATGACATTGCATTCTTGTCAAGGCAATTCAGTCAGATTTTGCAAAGGCAACAGAGGAGAAGGAATAGCAACAAGGCTAATCCTCAAAATTTTGACGAAACGTCAAAGTTTAGATTTAATGAAAAAAAAGTAGAAGAATCAAAAGAAACAAAATTTACTTGCTGGAATTGTGGTGGCAAATGTCATGCAGCCAATGTTTGTCTTAGTCCTAGGAAAGAACAAAATGATAGAAATAAAAGAAAAGTAATGAAAGTTTCTATGGTTGAAAATTCTACTTTAAGTAATAGTGATTCTCCTCAAGATGATTCTAATGATTTTTCTTATGTCGCTTTTCTTGATAGGGGTCCTCATGTCGTTCATTTATCTGACTCTGATAGTTTAGATAACGAAGAAACTAAAGTTCATGATGAACAGGTTGAAGAGGCTGAAAAGGACGATGAAAGATTGAAGAAGATGGTCAAAGAAACTATTGAGACCAAACAGGCAATCATTATTATCTTGGAAAGCCTGGTACATGTTTCATGTGGCTCAAGATTAAGCTGTAATTATTATTATTATTATTATTATTATTATTATTATTATTATTATTATCTTCTTCCATTGCTGATCAATGACTATGCTAGGTCTGATAAAATGGAATATTGAAATCATCCAACATCGAGTCTTGTTCTTTTTTCTTGATTAATTAGTAGTCCTACATGGGAGACCACAAGTTGGATAGTGTAATTCACTCTCAGATGAGTTTCTTTCTCTTGGTATAACCTCTATATATATGATAAGGTGAAGGAGACACTAGGAATCTCATCATTGAACAAATAATTAAATGAGTGAGACACTAAACAGCGTGATCTTGATTTAGATCTAACTACTACCTCGCCAATGTTTACGCAATGTTCCCACCAGAACTTGCAACCATATTGTTTTTCAACTCAGGAAATCACATGCATATCTTAATGCAATGCACGAATGGCATTGACATTTTGTCTCCTCCGAAGAGAAAATGCCAGAACCATACTTTCTACTATGTTTGCTTCTTCTCAATAATTGTGCAAGTGCGCGCACGAGTAGCATTTAAATTCTGCCTCCTCTTATCAGAAAATGCCAGCATCAATCTTTTTCTTCTGTTTTCTTCTTCTCAATGTTCATGTATGCGTGAGAGAGACGATGTTTTCTAAACAAACTTGAAATATGTACTGTACATAGGGTTGGGCTTATAAGGGTTAGGCCCATACGAACAACACTCGTTACAAGTCATACAAAGGCCGAAGGCCTGTTCAAGCTTAAATTAAGACTAAAACAAAACTAGGGTCTCAAAGCCCAAGCCAATCAATTAGGGGATGGATGCAAATTGCAATTCAACCTTCCGGTGAACAATTGGGGCTCTCTGTAACTTCATGCGAGAGCTTCACAGATATAGATGCCAAAATCTTACCAAGAACTGTGTTTTGCGATGATCCCATGGTTGAATATAATTATGCCGTTTCATTCAACCCAAATGTGATAAACATCATAAACTGTGGAGTGCAGGGGATTTTTATGGAGTGCAGGGGATGTTCAATGTTTCAAAAGTTCTGCAGCAACTTGCTCAAGGAGTGAACCCTGCAGTGTTCAATTATCATGCCAAAAGAAAGTTTGTTTACCATCGCCCACCACGTGTTAGACGAGTGTGTCTGAGCTGCTAACATCTTCCTCCAGCTCCATAAGCATTGCAGTCGTATTTTCAAGGTCCAGAGGCTCCTTTCCTCGACAGGGTATGTCCAACACCACTATGACCAAATGATTTGCTTGTTGTTTGATATATAGAAGTGTCCCAGTTTGTTTTAATCACCCTGCAATGTTTGGAATTCTTAGCCTGGCCTCTATCACATGACTCTTTGGGAGGCAAACCTTGGACCAGGCCACTCGCTCCTGTCTTTTTTAGTTCAGAACCAGACCATTAGAAATAAATCTTCTTAGAATGCATATGAACTCAAGAATTGAGCTTTTAGGCAAGATGAACGTGCTGAGCCAATAGTTTAGGGCTGAGATCAGTATTGTCTTGACATGACACATTAAAAAACACTTAAAACAAGAAGCCTAATGTAGGTAAGCATGTGTACTGATTTCAAAGACATTTTGAATTGGTAACAGTCACAGAAAATGCAGTATCATTATATTACGAGTACAAATATAGAAAACTTATCATCTGTGATGCACTGAAGACTCCAAAATTTTCCTACCTCAACCCCAATTCTTGAAGTAAATATATTATCATACTGAATCCTTGCTTTATTTCCATGCCCAATATTCTTCATCAATTGCAGGCTGAAATTTTGTTCCCATTTTGAATGATTACCAGTATAAAAAATGATGAACGCGAATAAAAATCTGAACTTTTGATCATTGACATCTTCTTTGTTAAATTATCTTTGGTATGGTAGGTTATGGCCTGCCTTAAAATTTAAGGTGTATATATCTTTACTTCATTGACAGAGTCATCTAAATTAAATACCTTTTAAACGCACATCTGCCTCAAGGAGTCTTCAATCCACTCAGTAAACCAATACCCTTAAATCATCCAGCTATTAGCTGTACACTGAACTCGAGTGCACTTCCTTGTCCCTGCTTGTGACCTAGCACTGCCCTTTGTGATTGCTGGCCTGGAATATTTTAAGCTGCTATTTATATATATCAAGTCACCTTTATGTTCTTCTGATGCTGAATGACTATGCTAGGTCTGATGAGATGGAACATTAAAATAATCCAACACAAGTCTCATTCTTTTTTCCTTTTTTCTTGATTAGTAGTCCTACAAATATTAATTTCATTTTCAAATGATTGAAAAAAAACTCGAAAATGAGGAAAAGAGTAAATATAGCAGCAATAATCATCCACCAATATAATGATTTATAATCAAATGACAACTACAAGTATATTTTCATGTACAAGTATGAACAGCTAATCAGGAAGGCTTTTTTTCCCCTATTGGCTCAGAATGTTGAGGAGGGAAACTCTGGTTCTAATTAAACGTCTAAACAGGCACTCTAATTGTTCTTCTGCATCTTGAATGAGCGAGTCTATCTTCCCCAACTGATATTGCAAATTTTCAACATTCATAACATTATCAGATTTGCTTGCTTTGTGATTGTTGAGTGTGTGCAATGCAGTAGCAACCTTCTCAAACTCGTTCATTTCTGTTTCATCTTGTTGTGACACACTTTTCTGATGCATCAGTTTGGAAACCAAAGACCACCCACTCAGCCTTGATTGCACCTTTGACGCTACAATATGGGACAATAAGGACTCAAAGGCGGCTACAGTGACAGCTTCAACCTCATTTAACATGCTAACAATTGCCACAGTTTCATGGTCTTTGTCCAAGGCTAGAAGACTTTCATTGTTTCTGATTCTCTTCAAATCCTTTAGGGACTTTTGGATCACCTTCTTCACCTTCTTTTGAGAGGTCAAATATGCACCAAAATCATTTGCATCTCGTCTTCTGCACAGGATTGAAAGAAGTTGTTGTACATCTTGCTTTGTCTATGAGAAGACATCTTTAGCGATGGCACACACATCCAAGAGCCTGAGATGCCCAGCCAATGCTTCATCAACCCATTTCTGGTCGCGCTCTTGGGCAAATACTTGTTGAGTCTGTGGCAAAAGAAGCAAATCATCCACACAATCATATAACTCTTCAAGACCACTTAGTCTATTGCTGATGGATGGCAATGATGAAGATGTGTCTTCAGAAGCCTTTACTGTGCACAAACGCTTGTCAAATTGAGGAATGAGAGGATGAGATCTAGAGGGCAAGCTAACAGAGCGAGAATGAAAACCAGTTTTTGATGTCAAAGGAGAGGAAGCCATCTTAATTTGTTTCTTATTACAAATTAGGCTTAGAACCATACAATTCAATCTCAAGTTGAGTTTCTTTCCCTTGGTATAAGCTCAATATATATCATAGGGTGAAGGAGACACAAGGAATCTTATCATTCAAAAAATAAATAAGTGCCAGCGTGAACTTGATTTGGATCTAACTGCTACCTCGGCAATGTTTATGCAATGTTGTCACCCAGTAGGTTCCATACTCACCACCAAATTATTTTTTTAACTGCGAAAATCACATGCATATCTTAACATAAAATGAGATATCTAATATATATTACATAAATGATCCATAAAATATGCAATGCACGAGTGGCATTTATACCCTGTCTACTCTAACTAGAAAATGCCAGAACCATCCTTTCTAATCTGTTTTCTGCTTCTCAATCAATATGCAAGTGGGCGCACGAGTAGTATTTAAATTCTGCATCCTCTTGCAGGAAAATGCCATCATCTTCCTCTCTCTTCTGTCTTCTTTTTTTCAATGTGCATCCGTGAGGGTGTGTGAGACAGCTCTTTTAAATTGGCCTGGCAAAACGCTTTCTATACTAATTAAATTTGAGATTCATAGGTGGCAACATGATCCATATTTGGATCTATACACAATATCAGCTATGTCTATGCAGTGTCTCCCTCCCACCATGTACCCAACTCAGTATTATTTGGTTTTGCTTCAAATCACATGCCTATTTTAGCATATTGTGCTACTGTATAATTTTTAATGCAATGCACGAGTGCCATTGACAACTTGTTTCCTCCAATGCAATTATGCAAGAAACACCTAACACTATTTTATTCTGTGCTTATAGTTTTTTAATTATTTTTATCTTAATTTAATTTTCGTACAATAATTATATACCTTGTCTGCACCTAGGGACTAATCTGATTACTAGTCTAGTCACCGTCGTAGTTCAAACTTGAAACTCAAATGTGCATACTAAGCAAATGCCTTCTATCTACTTGGAGAAGCCCAAGTCTGTCTAGACAAGGACAGAATCACTCATGCACACATTTTTTAAACTTGAAGCTATTTTGAATACATAAATAACAATTAAATGTTAACTGCGATGGGCTGGTCTTATCCATCGTTCTTAGGGTCTGTCTGCTATATATTCTTCGCAAAAATGAGAGAATTGACTGCTCCCCACTCTCACTGCATGAAAAAGGAATTTCTTTAAATTTTGGATTTGGGTTTTATTATGTTCTGATCATGTTTGAATTAAGGACTTTGGCCACTTGATACTTTCATGTAGTATGTTGAAATGAGATTTTTCAAAAACAAAATACTCTGTTTTATTAGATGAATAGGTTCTAAACTTTATGCTACTTTTTAATATACATTAATATTTGCTGGTTTGTATGACATTCAATCAAAGACATGTAACTAAAGTTTCATTCCTCAAAACTACATGTTTTGTTTCCATTAGTTTGTGAAACCAAGGACCAGCTGATTAGCTTTTATTGTGCCCTTGGAGGGGATAAAAATGACAAACAAGTATTGCAAAACAATGAGAAAGACTGCTTCCACCTGTCATGGCCTTGGTTGGTTATTGCTGAAGAGGGAGAAACCGAGAAGGTGCAGTTGTTTTTATACTCTTCAAACCCTTGGGGACTTTTGGATCACCTTCCTTGCCTTTTCCTCAAAATTAGTGTTTCCAACCACGTATAAAACCCCATATTCTCCACCATGTCATCTATGTGAAACTGATTGCAATTAAACTCGTTTTGATAATTTTTCATAACTGAAATCCATAGATTTTGGAATATTGAGCACACTGATTTTGATTGATGTAGGAGTTGAACAGAAGCTATGCACATTAAGAACAGCAATATTGTGTTTATTAGAATTGGCCTTAAAGAATTCACATCTTCCTCAAGAAGTCTCCAATCCACTCAGTAAGCCAATACCCTTAAATCATCCAGCTATACACTCTGGTTTTCTGCAGTTTCTTTGCCATGCTTGCAACATAGCAGTGCCTCTCGCGATTAAACATCCCAATGATAGCATCTACTTTCCATCTGCTCAATAAATACTAAAAGGTAGGAAGGAGGAATCTCATCATCTTCGACTCTAGGAGAGTCAAACCTGACTGTGATTTGCAAATTGAACATTAATGTCCAACCATGTCTGTTTAGTGTTACCCTAACCTCAAAATTGCCACCCAATAGTGTAGATTTCTATTTTTAACTTGTTGAAGCAAAAAAGTATGTTAATTTGGTCAGAATTTATATTTTATGACTTTCTGGCATGATTCATATGTGAATTATGTCGTGCATGAGTGGCATTAACAGACAATAGAGAAGGTTGGTAGATAATTTTGTGCATATTACTTTTTCAGCCAAATAACATTGTTCTTTTCAATGTGATTGGTGAGTTTTACTTTTTTTTTCTGCAATTGTAATTGTTTCTTTCAGGTTTTTCAGTGCTGGTTTGTATAACTTAGAATGAAAGACATGTATAGAGAGAAATTCATTCCTCCAAAGCTACAGTCTTTTTTTTGCATGAATTTTGGAAACCAAGGACCGGCTGCAAATATGCTTGACTGTGAGAATGACTGCTTCCACCTCTCATGCACACTTTCTTGACCCTGCTTGTGACCCAGCACTGCCCTTTGTGATTACTGGCCTTGACCATATTAAGCTGCTATTTATACATCTCAAGTCATCTTTATCTTCTCCTGATGCTGATCTATGAATAGCTAGGTCTGATAAAATGGAACATTTAAATCATCCAATAAAAGTCTCATTCTTTTATTTTATTAGTAGTCCTAAATATGATACCACAAGATGGAGAGTGTAATAATAGAACTACTAGAATTATTAATTTCATTTTCAACTTATTGAAAAAATGCTCCAAAACGACAAAAGAGTAAATATAGCAGCAATAATCATCCACAGTATATTGATTTATAATCAAAAAACAACTACAAGTATATTTTCATGTACAAGTATGAAAAGCTAATCTTTTCTTTTTTTCTTTTTTCTGTCTAGTTACTCAGAATGTTGAGGATGGAAACTCTGGTTCTGATTAAACGTCTGAACAGGCACGCTAGCTGTTCTTCCACATCTTGAATGAGTGAGTCCATCTTCCCCAATTGATTTTGCAAATTTTCAACATTCATGACATTATCAGATTTGCTTGTCTTGTGACTGGTGAGTGTGCACAATGCAGTGGCAACCTTCTCAAACTCGTTCGTATCTGTTTCATTTTGCCATGACACACTTTTCTGATGCATCATCTTGGAAACCAAAGACCACCCACTTGGCCTTGATTGCACCTTTGACCCCACAATATAGGACAATAAGGACTCAAATGCGGCTACAGTGACAACTTCAACCTCATTTAGCATGCGAAAAATGGCCACAGTTTGATGGTCTTTGTCCAAGGCTAGAAGGCTTTCAATGTTTCTGATTCTCTTCAAATCCTTTAGGGACTTTTGGATCACCTTCTTCACTTTCTTTTGAGAGGACAAATATTCACCAAAATCATTTGCATCCCGTCTTCTGCGCAGGATTGAAAGAAGGTTTTGTACATCTTGCTTTGTCTGTGAGAAGACATCTTTAGCAATGGCACACACATCCAAGAGCCTGAGATGCCCAGCCAAGGCTTCATCAACCCACTTCTGGCTGTGCTCTTGAGCAAATACTTGTTGAGTGTGTGGCAATAGAAGCAAATCATCCACACAATCATATAGCTCTTCAAGGCCGCTTAGTCTTTTGCTGATGGATGGCAATGATGAAGATGTGGCTTCAGAAGCCTTGACTCTGCACAAACACTCATCGAATTGAGGAGTGAGCGGATGAGATCTAGAGGGAAAGCTAATTGAGCGAGCATGGAAACTGGTTTTTGATCTCAAAGAAGAGGAAGCCATCTTTGTTTCTTATTACAAATTAAGCTTAGCACTAGAATGTAGCAATTCTATGTCATGTTGAGTTTCTTTCCCTTGGTATAAGCCCAATATATATGATGGGGTGAAGGAGACACGAGGAATCTCATCATTCAAAAATTAAATGAGTGCCAGCGTGAACTTGATTTGGATCTAACTGCTATCTCGGCAATGTTTATGCAATGTTCCCTCCCAGCAGGTTCCAAACTCACCACCAATTTCTTTATTTATTTTTTTTAAATTCAAAAAATCACATGCATATCTTAAAATAAAATGATATTATCTCATATATTACAGAAATGATCCATGTAATATGCAATGCACGAGTGGCATTGACACCCTGTCTACTTTTACTGGAAAATGCCAGAACCATCCTTTTTAATCTGTTTTCTTCTTCTCAATCAATGTGCAAGTGTGCGCATGAGTAGTATTTAAATTCTGCGTCCCCTTACAGGGAAATGCCAGCATCTTTCTCTCTCTTCTGTCTGCTTTTTGTCAATGTGTATCCGTGCAGGTGTGTGAGACAACTTTTAAAATTGGCTTGAGAAAATGCTTAATTTCTTGATTAATTATTAACATGAAGAAATTTGAGATTCATAAGTGGCAACATGATCCATAGTTGGATCTAAACACAATATCAGCTATGTTTATGCAGTGTCTCCCTCCCACCATGTACGCAACTCACTATTATTTCTTCTCACTTGAAATATCATGCCTATTTTAGCATAACGTGCTACCGAATAATTTTTAATGCAATGCACGAGTGGCATTGACTTGTTTCCTTCAATGAAAGAAACACCCAACACTATTTTGTTCTGTGGTTATAATTTTTAAATTACATTTATCTTACTACTTTGAATACATAACTAACAAATAAAATTTAACTGCAATGAGGTTTGTAATACCCATCATTCTTAGAGTCTGCTATATACTCTTTGCAAAAATGAAAGAAATGGCAGTTCCCCACTCTCACTGTATGAAAAATTAATTTCTTTAAATTTTGGATTTGAGTTTTTATTATCTTGTGATAATGTTCGAATTAAGGTTTTTGGATACTTAATACTTTCATGTAGTATGTTGACATGAGATTTTTCAAAAACAAAATACTCTGTCTTTGGCTACTTATTGATATACCTATTTAATATGTAACAAACAAAAGAAAGGTTGGTAGAGTTTTTTTTTTATATTACTTTTACAGAGAAATAACATTGTTATTTTCAATGTGATTGATGAGTTTTACTGTTTTTTTCTGCAGTTGTAATTGTTTTTTTCAGGATTCTCAGTGCTGGTTTGTATAACTTGGAATCAAAGACCTGTACATAGAGAAATTCATTCCTCCAAAGCTACGCTTTTTATTTGCATGAATTTTGGAAACTAAGGTCTATAACCAGAAAGAAGAAAGTTGAAAATCGAAATATCATCCTGTTAAACTCTAGGTGAGTCCCAACGTGATTGTGATTTGGATCTGAACACTAATGTCCCAACTATGACTGTTTAGTGTCTCCCCAACCTCAAACTTGCCACCCAATAGTGTAGATTTTTTTATTTTTTTTCAATGTGTTGAAGCATAACATTATGTTAACATAGTCAACATATATATTATATGGCATGATTCATAATATATACCATGTGCTGCACGACTGGCATTGAGAAATTGTCTCATTTTATATTTGAAAGCAAGCCATCTTTATCTTCTTCTGATGCAGCTATGACTATGCCAGGTATGATAGAATGGAACATTAAAATCATCCGACACGAGTCATCATTATTATTATTTTTTTACCTTTTCTTCTTGATTAGTAGTCCTACATATGAGACCGCAAGATGGAGTGTAAAATTCGAACTGCTAGAAATATTAATTTCATTGTTAACTGTTTGAAAAAAATGCTCCAAAACGAGGAAAAGAGAAAATATAGCAGCAATAATCATCCATCAGTATATTGATTTATAATTAACTGACAACTACAAGTATATTTTCATGTACAAGTATCAACAGCTAATCTTCTTTTTTTCTTTTTCTTTTTTCCTGGCTACTGGCTCAGAATGTTGAGGAGGGAAACTCTGGTTCTGATTAAACGTCTGAACAGGCACTCTAGTTTTTCTTCCGCATCTTGAATGAGTGAGTCCATCTTCCCCAACTGATTTTGCAAATTCTCAACATTCATGATATTATCAAATTTGCTTGTCTTGTGACCAGTGAGTGAGTGCAATGCAGTAGCAACCTTCTCAAACTCGTTCATTTCTGCTTCATCATGTTGAGATACACTTTTTTGATGCATCAGTTTAGACATCAAAGACCAAGTAGTTGGCCTTGATTGCACCTTTGACCCCGCAACATAGGACAATAAGGACTCAAACGCGGCTGCAGTGACAGCTTCAACCTCAGTTAACATGCTAACAATTTCCACAGTTTGATGGTCTTTGTCCAAGGCTAGAAGGCTTTCATTGTTCCTGATTCTCCTCAAATCCTTTAGGGACTTTTGGATCACCTTCTTCACCTTCTTTTGAGAGGTCAAATATGCACCAAAATCATTTGCATCCCATCTTTTGCACAACATTGAAAGAAGTTGCTGTACATCTTGCTTTGTCTGTGAGAAGACATCTTTAGCAATGGCACACGTATCCAAGAGCCTGAGATGACCAGCCAAGGCTTCATCTACCCATTTCTGGTTGCACTCATGGGTAAATACTTGTTGAGTCTGTGGCAATTGAAGCAAATCATCCACACAATCATATAACTCTTCAAGGCCGCTTAGTCTGTTGCTGATGGATGGCAATGATGAAGATGTGGCTTCAGAAGCCTTGATTCTGCACAAACGATCATCAAATTGAGGAATGAGCGGATGAGATCTAGAGGGCAAGCTAATGGAGCGAGCATGGAAACTGGTTTTTGATCTCAAAGGAGAGGAAGTCATCTTTGTTTCTTTATTACAAATTAAGCACTAGAATGTAGCAATTCAATCTCAAGTTAAGTTTCTTTCCCTTGGTATAAGCTCAATATATATGATGGGGTGAAGGAGACACAAGGAATCTCACCATTAAAACACTAAATGAGTGCCAGCGTTTTCTTGATTTGGATCTAACTACTACCTCGGCAGTGTTTACGCAATGTTCCCAAACAGTAGGTTCCAAACTCATCACCAAATTGTTTCTTTAACTCAGAAAATCACATGCATATCTTAACAAAAATTGACACTATTACAGAAATGATCCATAGAAAATGCAATGCACGAGTGGCATTGACACCCTGTCTTGTCTAGCTAGAAAATGCCAGATCCATCCTTCTTAATCCGTTTTCTTCTTCTCAATCAATGTGCTAAGTGGGCGCACAAGTAGTATTTAAATTCTTCATACTCTGACACTAGGAAATGGCATTATCAATCTCTCTCTTCTGTCTTCTTTTTGTCAATGTGCATCCGTGTGTTTGTGTGTATGAGACAGCTCTTTTAAATTGGCCTGAGATTCAATTTTATTTCTTGATTAATTATTAACATGATGAAATTTGAGATTCATCAGTGGCAACATGATCCATATTTGGATCTAAAGACAATATCACCTATGTTTATGGAGTGTCTCCCTCCCACCATATACCCAACTCACCATTATTTGTTTATACTTGAATTCACATGCCTATTTTAGCATAATGTGCTACCAGCCTACGATATAATTTTTAATGTAATGCACGAGTGCCATTGACAAGTTGTTTTCTCCAATGCAATTATGCAAGAAACAATACTCTGTGCTTATAGTTTTTTAATTACATTTATCTTTATTTAATTTCCATACAATAATTATATGCCTCATCTGAACCTATGGACTAATCTGTTCACAAGCTAGTCACCATTGTAGTTCAAACTTGATATTCAAATGGTCGTGCTAAGCAAATGTCTTCTATCTTTTGACTGTTTTTACCCTAGCTTGGGTGATAGAATGGATCAACCATCCAGATGGAATATCCAAATATGTACTACGTAGTATGTTGACATGAGATTCTTTTAAAGAATATTTGTTTTATTAGATGAATAGGTTCTAAACTCTCTGCTACATTTTGAATCTTTGATATGCATTAATATTTAACAAATAAAAGAGAAATTTACTATTTCAGCTAAATAATATTGTTGTTTTCAATGTAATTGGCGATTTTTATTCTTTTATCTATAATTGTAGTTGTCTCTTTCAGGTAGTTCTGCTGGTTTGTATGACATAGAATCAAAGACATGTATAACTAGAGATTCATTCCTCAAAACAACATGTTTTGTTTCCATGAGTTTGGGAAACCAAGGAGAAGCTGCTTAGCTTTGGTAGTGTCCTCAGAGGGGATAGAAATGGCAACAAATATTGCATGACAATGGGAATTACTGCTTCTACCTCTCATGGCCTTAATTGGTCTTTAATGGGAGGAAAAAGAAAGTGCAGTTGCCTTTTCCTCGAGGTTAATATCTCCAACCACATTTGACACCCCAGTTTCACCACAATGTCATCTGTGTGAAACTGACTGCAATTCTTGTATGTGTTCATTTGCCTGGAACAGGACATCCTTAGCAAAGCAACAGATACAACCGACAGAGATATTCATCCTAATCCTTATTAACCCATTACTCATTTTGTTCCTGTGCATAGAGGAAACACTCTATATTAAATGGAAAAAACTAGTTTTGATAAATTGTCATAACTGAAATCCATAGATTTTGGAACACCGAGCACACTGCTATTGACAGATGATAGAGTTGAACAGCTATGCACATTAAGAACAGCATTATTGTGTTTATTAGAAACGGCCTTAAAACTTCACATCTGCCACCGAAAGTCTCCAATCATTCAGTCATTCTGCAGTTTCTTTGCCGTGCTTGTAACCTCGCAGTGCCTTTCGCGATTGATGCCCTTAACATGTTAAACTGCCATTTAAACATCCCAAGGATAACATCTGCTCAACTCTAGGTGAGTCAAACTTGATTGTGATTCGAATTTGAACATTAATGTCCAACTATGTCTGTTTATTGTCTCCGCAACCTCAAACTTGCCACCCAATAATGTAGATATTTTTTTTTATTTTCAGCTTGATGAGGCATAAAGTATGTTAACTTGATCAGAATTTATATTTTATCATTTTATAACATGATTCATATGTGAATTATGTGGTACACGAGTGGCATTGACAAATTGTCTCCTCTTATACTACAGAGCAGGTCACCTTCTTCATTTTTCTATTTTTGATGCTGCTGCTGCACTTGTTACATTTATTGTTAGATATATATCTTGCACACGAGGACTTATTAAACTATTGGAATAATTAGGACTGTAAAACTTCATATTTAGAAACGTTGTGATTTTGCCACCACTCTTGGTAACTAGTAAGTAGTACTTATTAGTTTGAGAACAATGCCAAAGTTGTGATTTATTTTAACATTTTCCTTATCAAATATTGAAACGAATAATACTGAGTTGGGTGCATGGTGGGAGGGAGACACTGCATAAACATAGCTGATATTGTATTTAGATCCAAATATGGATCATGTTGCCATTTATGAATCTCAAATTTCTTCGTGCTAATAATTAGTCAAGAACTATATAGAAAGTGTTTTCTCAGGCCATTAAAAGAGCTGTCTCACACCCGCACGGATGCATATTAAAAAATAAATAAATAAATAAGGGACAGAAGAGAGAGGATGATGCTGGCGATTTCCCTTTAAGAGGATGCACAAGCTCGATGCTACTCGTGCGCGCACTTGCACATTTATTGAGAAGAAGAAAACAGATTAGAAAGGATGGGTCTGGCATTTTGTAGTTAGATGAGACAGGGTGTCAATGCCACTCGTGCATTGCATATTTTATTCATCGTTTCTGTAATATATTAGGTATAGTGTCATTTGTTGTTAAGATATGCATGTGATCTTCTGTGTCAAATAAACAATTTGGTGGTGAGTTTGGAACCTACTGGGTGGGAACATTGCGTAAACATTGCCGAGGTAGTAGTTAGATACAAATCATAATCACGTTGCCATTCATTGATTGTTTAAGAGGATGAGATTCCTTATGTTTCCTTTACCTTATGATGATACATATATATATTGAGCTCGTGCAAAGGGAAAGGAACTCAAAACTTAGATTGCTTTGTACATTCTACTGTTAAGAGCCTAATTTGTAGTAAGACACAAAGATGGCTTCCTCTCCTTTGAGATCAAAAACTCGTTTTCATGCTCGCTCTGTTAGCTTTCCCTCTAGATCTCATCCGCTCATTCCTCAATTCGATGAGCGTTTGTGCAGAGTCAAGGCTTCTGAAGCCACATCTTCATCATTGCCATCCATCAGCAACAGACTAAGTGGTCTTGAAGAGTTGTATGATTGTGTGGATGCTTGGCTTCTATTGCCACAGACTCAACAAGTGTTTGCCCAAGAGCGCAACCAGAAATGGGTGGATGAAGCCTTGGCTGGGCATCTCAGGCTGTTGGATGTGTGCGCCATTGCTAAAGATGTCTTCTCACAGACAAAGCAAGATGTACAACAACTACTTTCAATCCTGCGCAGAAGACGAGATGCAAATGAGTTTGGTGAATATTTGAGCTCTCAAAAGAAAGTGAAGAAGGTGATCCAGAAGTCCTTAAAGGATTTGGAGAAAATCAGAAACAATGAAAGCCTTCTAGCCTTGGACAAAGACCATCAAACTGTGGCAATTGTTAGCATGTTAACAGAGGTTGAAGCTGTCACAGTAACTGCGTTTGAGTCCTTATTGTCCTCTATTGTCGGGTCAAAGGTGCAATCAAGGCCAAGCGGGTGGTCTTTGGTTTCCAAGCTGATGCATCAGAAAAGTGTGTCACAACAAGATGAAACAGATATGAACGAGTTTGAGAAGGTCGCCGCTGCATTGCGCTCACTCACGGGTCACAAGACGAGCAAATCTGACTATGAAAATTTGCAAAATCAGTTGAGGAAGATGGAGTCACTCATTCAAGATGCGGAGGAACAGCTAGAGTGTCTGTTCAGACGTCTAATCAGAACCAGAGTTTCCCTCCTCAACATTCTGAGCCAGTAGTAGAAAGTTTTTTAGTTGTCGACACTTGTACATGCAAATATACTTGTAGTTGTCATTTGATTATAAATCAATATACCGGTGGATGGTTCTTGCTGCTATATTTACTCTTTTCCACATTTTGGAGCATTTTTTTCAATCAGTTGAAATTGAAATTAGTATTTCTAGCTGTTCTATTTTTTACATTCTCCAATTTGCGGTCAAAAATATGTGGGACTACTAATCAAGAAAAAAGAATGAGACTCGGGTTGGATGAATGTGATGTTCCATCTCATCAGACCTTGCATAGTCATAGATCAGCATCAAAATCAGATGGACTCACTCATTAAAACTTGCTCATGAAATTACATCACCATATTCAATTACGCATAAATTGAAATCCTAACCTAAATTTCATTATGTATGGTCAAATGTCATGGCACTAGTAAATATTACCAAAAAGAAAAAGAAAAATAGTCTCACATTCCATTCTTAAGAAGTGACTTACCAATATTAGTGAAAGTAAAATGTTCAACCACATGAGAACAGTTAATCTATTGTACGTATATACAAATTATATCTCCGATCATTTTATCCAACACCCTCCCCAGAAAACATTTATTAGCATGTGATTAGGCAGTAGCGACAGCTCTGTTCTCTCTCAGAAAGGCATAACCCAGAGTGGAACAAGGCATCATTTTAGTAAATTGTTGAATCTCAATTTTGTTTAAGATAGTAATTAATCAAGCAAATAAATTGACAATATAAAAAGATAACTTACAAAGTATGCCGAATAGCTGAACTTGATATATAGAATTGCACATTGTAGTGGTAAGCCTAATCAAAGATTGCTTCCTCTCCGTTGAGATCAAAAACCTGTTTCCATGCTTGCTCTCGAGTTAACGAGAAAGGGACTGTAAAGTTCATCAAATGACTAGGCATGCATGCCCTCAGAACTTTCAACCTCTCCACAATCTTATAGTATTTCATGAATGTTTGTCACAGACCAAGGCTGACATTCTTATAGATGGTGAAAGAAAACAATTTTATTAATGCAGGAACTAGTTTGTCCCTATAAATACATTTGCAGCAAAGACGACAAGTAGATGATTTCAATTCCGGTACTCATTTTACTAAGTCAGGAAGTTGTTAAGAACAACAGATGGCGATGAATAAATTTCCTTGTGATTTATATGGGTTGATTCTCATGATTATCTCCCACCTTTTTGCCTCTTCTCTTCAAGTCCAGCAGCCTCATTCAACATGTCAGCAGCATCCTGGTGCATGTCCAGTTTTGCAAGGGCAACTGACTGCATGTAAAAGGCCGTTGGCCAGTCTGGATAGACGCATTGTGCTTGCATTGCATCTCTAAGGGCAGCATCAGGTTGATCACATAGGAGATAACACAGACTTCGTCGTGCATAAACAGTTGGGGAGACCATGGTTCCTACATCTATGAACTGTGCACAAAATAAATCCAAAGGAACCATCAATAAATGTAACATCGTAGTTGTTTCAACCAATGCTTCACTCAACTTCAATTTTATCAAGTCCACTTTCAAAATTACATTGTGTGTAAGCTAGGAAGGGGTAGAGTCAATTAACAAATTGTGAACACTGGAGAGGAAAGAACAGTAGAAAACAATTTAAGGGCTATTTTTGCCCTTTTTGGCAATCAGCCATCCAGATAATAACCCACCTGCTGAACAGACTAGAATAGAAAGTGGTTCCGTTGACCCGTAAGGGCATGAATTGAAAATATGTTCTCAGCTGATGAGCATAACAATATTTTCCAACACAGGAAATGTAAAGCCATACCTGAGAATAACAATCAATGGCAGTTTTAAAATCCTTATCACGGAATGCATAGTCACCACGCTTCCGTGCCTCCAGCATATCTCTCATCTGTTGGGTCCATTCTTGAAAAGATAACTGAACCAAGAGACATTGACATAAATTTCTTAACATGCAACTCAAAACAGGACATGCAATAGACCATCTAGTACAAGCTCAATTACCTCATTGGTTCCTTCATCATCCCGGTAGTGCGTCATAACCAATATCTGATGGATTGCTGTGAGGTCCATTCGTGAACAGGCCTCACCCATAGGTGATAGAGGCCGTTGTGGGGTTGGTGGGGCTTCCTCATGTTTCGATATCCCAAGCATTACATAAGATGGAACCTGAAACCCATAATCCTGGTGATCAGATCCTTACTTGAAGCAGTACTCCTTTCATCCTTTTATGACCACATCAAATTTGTTTAAGATGATATAAAAACATATCTGATAACCACAGTTTTTGGCAATGCGAATTAAAGGCACTAAAGGGCACCGATGCACCTCAAGCAAAGCTGCTTAAGTGGGTGAAGACGCCTGATCAAGGCAAGAAGTGCAACAGGCTATTGGCTAAATGAATTTTTAAAAGAAAATAAATTTCACATATTATATTGCCAAACATGTTATACAATTCAATTGCACCATTGCTAGAGATAGCATGCTAACATAACAAAGATTTTCAAAATTATTTAAGAAGCAATATTTTATCACTCATAGACTCGTAGTAGTGATTTACGAAAATAAGTGATGTGATTTCAATATGAAGCTCTATGCTTCAAACCATACAAGTATGCACTTTTACCTGAAAATCTAAACACTACAGAAACTTGCATCCTAGAGGAAATGTGTAATTAGCAGTCAATGTGTGTATTTTTTTCTTCACTCAGCAATTCCAATGTGCAACCTGTCCCTTGGATTTTTTGGGTAATTCCTTTTAATTTTTTATTTTCTACTTCACTTCCTCACATGCTTGTTTCTTTAGCAACTATGCCAATAAGCACATATTGGCAAAGAGACCATCTATATCAAATTTTCAAGAACACCAATCATCTTTGGCAGAAGGGCCTTTATAGTCCACAGACTAAAAGTGAAGCAAGCTTCAGTTATCTACAAGTGCACGAGTATATGTTGGTCTTCTTATATGCCATTGTACAAATGAAAGACTAATTAGATTGTTCCTTGCACTATATATCTATTTGCAATGGTGCTAATGAAACTTTTTAAAATGATTTTATTTATTGTATCCATCAAAAAAACTGTTAAGGAATCTGTCATAATATAAGATCTTTATACCAATCCTTCTATTAGAATTTTAGACGAGAAATTTTATAGCAAAGAAGCAGAATTTCACCATGCCACTGAAATGATATATATTAAAATAATTTGTTGTCCTATGGATCCAGAAAGGGATTCTATGTACAGCATTTCAACAAAGTATATTTATGTATGGAACATTTTCTACTTTTGCATCTTCATCAGTCATGCAATAAAGAGTAATATCAAGTTGTTGCACCATCAAAGTAACTATGATAATTATATAGGAATGTAAAAATGTGGTGGTTTCAGAAAAAAGGAAAAGTTCCTTACATCTGATTTGGTTTGTAGTGGAGCAAGTGCCGCAACAAGATCCTTTGTGTTAGGTCGCTCTCTAGGTTCATACTGCAAACACTGAGAAGCAAGACCAACAACTACTGTTGCTTCCTCTGTAGAGAACTTTCCCTCCAAATGTGAGTCCATTAAGAGAATGATGTTCTTGCCACGTATCATATCAAGAGCCTACATTACAGAATAAATTAATTGAACCCTTGGAACTTCTATCTTCTTAGAGTAGATAGAACTTGAAAAGATGTCACCACAGTGATTCCCCAAGCAACACCAACATAAACAATTGAACTATCACAATGAATCCTAACAGGCATTCTGCACTCTGTTACTGTATTGTGTTTATATAATAATGTTCATAAGAAACACCGACAAACCTCAACCCCCAGCCACCCACAAAACAACCCAACAAAATTAATAAAATCAAACGTTTCTAATTCAATTTCAAGAATCCATTCGCTCCCTAATCATTATGCAATAGTAATAAAAATCCAATAAAAGGGGTTTCTACAATTTCATTAATGAATAATGCTGAGTATAATTTCTTGCCTTGTTGATCCAAGATAGTAACTGTTTTCCAAGATGATTCAAGAATTAAAATGATTTAAAAATGGAAAATGATACACCAAAAGGCTAAGGGAGGAAGGTGAATAGTGGACATGGTCAACCATCTCAAGCTATCCTGAGAAGGGATTGGCATGAGCCTATGTTCTCCTTTCTATTCTTTTCTTTTCTTTTTTCCTGAATGCCAAGAATATATGCAAGTGGTTCAATTTCTGTCGTTGGCAATCAATTTTCAAGCTCAATTTTGTTCCTCACAAGATAAACAAATATGTCACTCATCTTGCTAGTCTTTTCTTTAGGAAGGTCCTACTTCATAGTTTACCCATGACTTTTACTTTAGACCCTGGGTCCGCGACAATATTTATTAGCCACTTTACTTTATGGAGGTTTATGATAAACAAATTTCAAATTTTCAAGGAGTTCTCATCCCAAACTGGTTACAATGTCCTTCTTGACAAGCCTTGAAACAAATCATTCTACTCAAGAAACAACATGTTCAGGTGACGAGTCTACTTTTAATGAAACAAATCATTCTACTCAAGAGACAACATGTTCAGGTGTTGTACAAAGGAATAGGAATTATTCCACTGATAGTCCCTACTCCAAATCATGTTGTGTTCTTAGGGAATGCATGCATAATGCTTATTAGCCTGAAATACCAAAAGGTTTGGAAACTAACCCAATATTTTCAATTTGTATCCATATCATGTAAAATTTAACATCCCTCCTTGGCTCCTTGCATTATATTTTTTAGTTCAACCTTCATCTAGATCATAAATAATGCCAGTGCTCATGATGTACATTCAGCATCAATGACAACTAAGCACCTATCTACATAACACAAAATATCCTTCAGAGGAATTTAGTTCAAAAATTACATGGATTTTTTTTTTTTTTTTTTTTTTTTTTTTTTTTTTTTTTTTTTTTTCGATAAGTATAAAAAATTACATGGATTGACGGAATGCAGACATGAATGCTTGATTAGGACTGCAAAGCCAAACCCAATTATGATTTTTCCATTTAAGATGGATGACACTGCCCATGGATTGTGTAGGCCAACACTTTGGCCTACAATGTTATTATGATGGATTAGAAGGAAATAACAAAATGTGTATTGCATTATATAGATATTTTGCTAGATTAGACATGCACTAGTGATGGTAAGAGTTCCAAGGCCACATAACTAAATGTGTTGAGTGTCCAATTCGAGAGAAGTCCCAATGAATTATTGACTGATTTGGCTAATGATATTTGAATATTATATTATGTCAATGATATTTGAATATTATATTACGTCAACAATCATTTGTAACAGAAGGTAACAGAAGTTTCATTCTATAATGCCTTTGTTAAGGGTTTTATGATTTTCCTCAACCAAGTAAATTATTACTCTGTGAGTGAGAGATTTCTCAAGTGAACAGTATTACTGCTTATCAACTTAATATCTGTCTTCTCCTCTTACCACAATTTCCCCTTTTTTTTCCCTACTAAGTGAGTTATCTATTGATCTCTATGAATTAGTTAATTATCAACTTAAATCTTCCATAGCAATCCAGTCTTCACTACCATCAAGTACATTGTGGACCCCGGCTTACCTGATAAATAGAGAAGACCTTTACAAATATGATATATTTTAAGAATGTGATACAGATATAAGCAACTCACGTGACTTGGAGGGATGTGCTTTCCACTTAACAGATCCAATAGGACAGTGCCAAAGCTGTATATAACACTTTCAGGGGTGACCCTTCCTACAATATACGAAGAATCCCAATTACAGAACATACTAGTCAAAGCCATGTCAGACTATTTAAAACTAGAAATATTATCTTACTCATAAAACAGTGCTGACGACATTTAATGAATATTAACAACTAGACATGTAATATAAAATGGTAAAAGCATTTTTCAAGAAGATATGCACAGAGAGAGAGAGAAGTTTTACTTTATTCACTTTACAATAAAGCAGAGCACGCCACAGCTAGTAATGCATCAGAATAAGATAAAAATAGTTTTTCATGAAGATATATACATGTAGAAAGAGAGAGCGAGAGAGAGAGAGAGCACTTCATTCACTCAAGTAATGCTACTTGATAAAATATTATAAAGGCCATAATAGTTGTAAATAAATTTGATAATTCCTTTAAAAAAAAAAACAGAGAAACTAAATTAGTATAAATTAAAATATGCTATTGAGAAGAATATTGCATTGCCAGTCATTAATATATGCAAAGCAAGGCTATAATACATTGATTATATTGAGTTCCCAAAATGTTTTTCACACAAGAAACCACCTTATTTTTGCAAGAGAGTATTCATAAGCTAAGCCAGATTTAGCACCCACTTCAAAGAGTAGCCCAAGAATTTAGAGATATACTCTCCACTACTACTATCATCTTGTCTCATAAAACAAGAACCAGTGCATAGAAGTGACAAATTTTCATATCAATGAAGTTCAACAAAGGAATCCAAGTTTCTTCAAACTACAACTTTTAGAAAGGTATTCAGATACCGATGCTTCTGTGTTTCCATTTATCAACCCCTACAAAGCAACATATAACAAAAAGAGAAAAAGGATGGTCTGTATCGGTCAATCGCTTTGGTGAATGATTCTATCATGGATGCCTTAACATTAGCTTAGTTGCTTGTTTGCAATCCCTTCTTTTGGCAAGGATTGAGGAACAATTATCTCAACTGTAGCTGGTGAAAAGAAAAACTAAGGCTCCGGCTACTCCCTGCAATGAACAAATTGAGGTTGGAACTCATTACTCTTGCCCTAACCCAAATTATTTCGATTTCCCACTTGATTGAATTGGGTCCATGAATCTAAGAAACAATGAATATTCTTGATCTCTCTCAATTCGAAATTGCATTGATTACGAGCTTGTTTTATATCAATAGTAATTCATCATTGTTGTTTCACTCTGACCTAGAATATCATTAATCCGGCATGAGCAAGAAAAATTTTAGCTTTTTATTAGAATTCAAGTGAAGGAGTATATATATTGATTGAATACAGAAAGAGAAGACTCCCTACTTGTTTGTCCGAAATAAATATCTTCCAAATTTGAGAATCCAAATGGCAGTTCCAAAAAAATGTACTTCTATATCAAAAAATATTATTTGTGAAAATATTTAGAAAAAGAAGGGATATTAAGCAGCCCTAAAAGCCTTTTAGAAAATATTTGCTCATTGTTTTCGAACCTACTCTGCCCCATAGCCATATTGAATAGAACGTTGTATTTTTAGCAGTTTTTTGGACATTAAGCACCATTAGATGGGTTATTTTTATTGGCATCGGATTTCGTTTATAAAACTTCTTCAACATCTAGTACGCAACTAAACTACCAGTAAGCTACAGAATATAAGTATTAGTGTCACGACCCGCACCACTATGTAAATATTGTCCGCTTTGCAAACTGCTCATGCTCAAGATTTCAAAATACATCTACACAGTTAGCCTCGGGCCCTCCCTTGGGCGATGTGAGACATCACAATCACCCCCTCTTGGAACCCAACATCCTCGCTAACTTGACCCTCATGAGCTTGTGCACGCTCCCCCAATTCTTGGTTTGGGATTGGCTCTGATACCACTGTCATGAACCGCCCCGCTATGTAGATTGTGACATCCCACATTGCATAGGGGGAGAAGTTATTGGCATTTATATGTATGGATGTCTCTTAACTGTGTAGACGCGTTTTGAAAACCGTGAGCACGGAGAATAGGTAAAGAAAAACATCTACACAACAAGGTAGATCGGTCGTGATAGATGCTATCAGAGCCAATCCCCAGCCCGAAATGAGGAGGCGTGCACAAGCCCATGAGGGTCACGCTAGCAAGGACGCTGGGCCCAAGAGGAGGTGATTAGGAAAACGGCAATCATATTCCCAATTAAAAGCTAAAAAAAATTAATATATCTCATCAACAACAAATTTACATCATGGGTTTTAAAATACCGAATTGCTAAATCAATCCAGATCACGTGAAAAGACCACTTTGAAGCAGAATCACAGTAGACTCAGAATTAGGATCGTAGGATCGATAAATTATGTTGTCAAGATTTCAAAATACATCTACACAGTTAGCCTCGGGCCCTCCCTTGGGCGATGTGAGACATCACAATCACCCCCTCTTGGAACCCAACGTCCTCGCTAACTTGACCCTCATGGGCTTGTGCCCGCTCCCCCAATTCTTGGTTTGGGATTGGCTCCGATACCATTGTCATGAACCGCCCCGCTGTGTAGATTGTGACATCCCACATTGCCTAGGGGAAGAAGTTATTGGCATTTATATGTATGGATGTCTTTTAACTGTGTAGACGCGTTTTGAAAACCGTAAGCACAGAGAATAGGTAAAGAAAAACATCTACACAACAAGGTGGGTCGGTCATGACAGATGCTATCAGAGCCAATCCCCAGCCCGAAATGAGGAGGCGTGCACAAGCCCATGAGGGTCACGCTAGCAAGGACGTTGGGCCCAAGAGGAGGTGATTAGGAAAACAGCAATCATATTCCCAATTAAAAGCTAAAAAAAATTAATATATCTCATCAACAACAAATTTACATCATGGGTTTTAAAATAACGAATTGCTAAATCAATCCAGATCACGTGAAAAGACCACTTTGAAGCAGAATCACAGTAGACTCAGAATTAGGATCGTAGGATCGATAAATTATGTTGTCTTGCTTCTTCTTTTTTTTTGGATTTATTTGGGCATACAACCCATTCTTGGCAAAGAAATTAATGGTTTTTCTTTTTCTTTTTCTTTTTCTTTTTTTTTTTTGATAAGTCAAAGAAATTAATGGTTTTAAGTATAAAGCCCAACACTTGATAATTTGCATTTTAAAAAAAAAGGAACAAAAACTGAAGACCCAACTTCAAAGGTAGACACGATCCAGCCCTAAACTTCAAAGGTGTGCCTCACTACTTCAAAAGTTTCATCTATTTTGCTTTATTTTACTTGATTTTTCCTTTTTTTCTTTCTTTTTTAGGAAAAAATAGAGAGCTCAAATTCTGCGTGACTATACTTATGTTGACGTTTTTGCATAAAGAAATCAAGAAATTGGTTTCAAGTGTTTGTGATGTGCCCTACTCTCTTAGTATCTTTTAATGTTAATTGATTTTTGCTCGAATGTAGATACGCAAGAACATATCATTTGGTCGCACTCAGATATTGACTGTAATATGAAGCATTAACAAGTTATATTGACCCATTTCATTATAGAAAATTCTCCATCATGAACCAACCAGTGTCATAATTCATGTTTCAAAAAAATGTGTGAATTTCGATTATGCAGAAACAAGGACCATGAAATATGAACACCAGGTAGGAAGGATATTAAGTATGTGAATAATGTGACAGTCAAGTATGTGAATAATGTGACAATCAAGAAAGACGGATCAGTTGATCACGAGTCCCTAAGGTCGACAGGCATATAACTGCAGATGAATCATTTTGCATACATAGAACTATAAGGTTAATAATAGAGAAGAACAAACAAATACACATTATTCAAGTAGAGAAGTAATCACCATTTTTTAGATACTCCGGAGGTGTGTAGGCAAGATTTGTGCTATAACTTCTTCCATCTCTACTATTTTTCATCAAACCAAAACATGAAAGCCTCGGATCGCCATCCTACAAGGTCCATCAATTATAAGAATAGCACTCTATGTGACAGACTGAAGAAACAACGAAACAGACAAAAAGGGGCCAATGTGATAATAAACTTTACAATTGAAGGAGACAAATTGCAACACCTCATCAAAGAGGACCCTGTAAGCATTCAGATCATGGTACAACGGACGGCCTTCAGCACTACAATAGTGTAAGGCTTCAGCTATATATAGTGCTACTCTCAAACGCATGGCCCATTCAATGGTTTGATTTTCCCCTGTCAAGAAGAAATAAAAACCTGAAACTATCCACAAGAAAAAGCAATATTTCCACCTTCTCTCTATTTCAAAGTTGGGAGTATAAACAAGCAAAGATAGCAAACTAGCTAGGCTCTAGCACAAAATCAAAAATTTTGAAAATAAATTATTAAATGAAATAAGATTTAAAAAAAAAAAGCTACAGAAATAATACAAAAGTTTCTAAATTTACTTGCAAAATTAGAAGTGATTACTAACTTTGACGATGCATTTAAAAGCAACTAAAACTTTGCATCTGCAACCAATTGGATTGAGTCTGCAAATTTCCAAAATTCATCCTACTATCATTGCACGCCACTAGATTGTAATTAAGAACCACCAAACCCCGGAGACAATAAATAGAATCTAAACCTGAATAGTTGTCAAGAACCACCAAACCACTAAAGACAATAAATAGAACCTAAACATAGGTTGTCATCAAGAACAACCAAACTACTGTAGCCAATAAATGAAAGTGTGGAACTTCCCCTTCACTTCACTCCATCCTTGACCTCTCTTATGGACCACATTCTACCCCAGTACAGCAAAACCCAGGATAAGGCAGAGGGAAAGAGAATCGGACAATTATTTCATGGTCCTTACAGATTCGATTTGAATAAATGTATGCCAAATACACTAAAAGACTACCCAATTAAAGCATTTACAACAACAGCCAAGCTTAAAGATTTCATCAATTATATAATCTAAAACTTAAAATAAATCTAGTATGGATTAAATCAAGTTTAAATGATAAACCCCAAATGTAAAACAATCATACATACAGTGAAATAAATGCTTAGCAAGAGTATCATTGGGCATGTACTCTGCAACAAGCAATCTCTCATCACCATCACAGCAGTACCCAATCAAATTCGCGAGCCTTCGATGCCGCAACTTCCCAACACCCCAAGCCTCCTCCTAGAAAACCCACAAAGAATTATATACACAGAACTATAAACAGACAATCATATCAGAGAAAAATGGATGAAACTCAAGAAAAAGACCATTACCGCAAACTGTTTCGGGTCGGGCCAAGCTAATTTGGTAAATTTCTTTACAGCAATCCATCGGCGGTTCTGCAAGCGACCCTTGTAGACAAGATTGGGGGCTTTTTCGCCGCTCTCGGAGACGATGTAATCGGAGCTGAAGTTGTTGGTGGCGGCTTTGAGGTCGGCGAAGGAGAACTCCGAGAAGGAGGGTACGCCGGTGGCGGTTACCGGGTCGTGCCCGCCACCGGAGGGTGATGGGTGGTTGAATGGTGGGTTTTTTGGGCTGTCATGGTGAAGCTTGTGTACTTTTTCCGGGTGTGTCTCCGCTAGAAACGACGACGCACAGCAACCCATGACTATCGCTTTAGTGTGTGTCTCAGACTTTGTCCTTCAGACGTCAAGATGAACCATTTGTAGAGAGAGAAAGTAGAGAGAGAAGAAAAGGGAGTCGTGAAGTTTATGTCCTCCCTTTTGTTGTTGTTCAGTTGTTTCAATTTCTCTCTCTCACACATACAGATGCAGTGATCAATCTTACCATTACAGTGGCAAATGGGTTGCTATATATGCAAAGGGGTATTCTTGTCTTCAAAGGTCTTTCAAACTGTTTCAAGCATTTTCACAAATAGTTTGGTCCGGTTTAGTGTCTGATAAATAAAGGATGATTATGTTGATTATGTACTAATAATAATCCACTCTCTTAAATGCCAATGTGTTAAAGAAGAGCATCTTGGGTTTTGGTTATAATAATCGGACACGTGGCAGATTTTGGAGGGTTGATGAGTTTGAGAACTGTTTTGTTTTTAATGAAATTGATGATTTGTTAATGTCCGAAAACAATAAATTGATGATTTGTGTGTGGAAAATAATAGTGTATTAGATTATATTCTAGGGTTGAGGTTTTCATTGGATACCAAAATGGTGTTTATTATAGGTATCTTTCTTTACACCTAATAGTGTTTGTATATGGAAACCAAATGAAGGCATATATTCGCTGGACACATGTCCCCTAGTCGTAGCATTAATATCGCAAATTATCTCAAAACTCATTCAAATTGATGAATAAATGCATCTTCTTTGAAGGATGATCATTTGTTCATTGGCTATTTTATAAATAAATTAAGTTATATTTTATCCATCTCATTTTTATTTATTTTTTTTATTATATTAGTAATAATAACCTCACTATAGGTCGACACAATATTATCTATAATTCAATATTATCTATAATTTACGGATTTTAAAAGTGAAATTGTACACATGTATCTTGCCCAACTTCCAGCTAGGTTAGGCTATGATACCGTTAATAACAACCCTCACTCTAGCCAAACAAAATATTATCTATTTTTATCTCCCAAGGGTCACCCATTCTAGTATTATTCCCATTCTAGTATTATTCCAGGTTAAGTACGCTTAACTTCGAAGTTCTGGTGGGTTCATAGTCATCACGACTTTTAAACACATCGTGTCATAAAGGATATTGTTGAATCTACATATAATATTTATCCTATCTACCCAGACGATGTGGGATTATGTACCTGTAACTCGTCTAGTATGGTAACCTACTAAAACCACCTGTACACGCCACACACAACCGTTCACAAGGTCATCACTTTAGTAGTGAATGAATTATCAAATTTTTTCTTAATGGGTCCACAATAATATGATGGTTTACTTTTTATAAATTCAAATGCAATAAGGTTAAGTACATTGAATTTTTAAATGGAACACTTATTTTGTCCTTTCCATTTTGTGTTGTCAATCTTCAAAAATAAAGTGAATGTGTTATTTTCATAATTATCCTTTAAAATGATAAAAATCTCCCAAAGTGATGCTATAAATATTTGAACTTGAGAAGTCATCTAAGCTAATTTTATAAATATTTTCATTTGTAAATCTCATGTTTGAACTCTACCGTCTGTTTTTAGCTCCCAGGGGTAACCCATCTCTATAATTGCTTTTCGATAATTCTACTATGATTTCACCAAGGTTCAGTTTAGGATTCATGTGTTGAGAATTTTAGTGTGTATATATATATACCCCTAGCATTGTGGTTGTAGGTACTAGGTATAAATTATTCATAAGGATAGTTTTGTTCAATTTATTAATTTGTAAAGTTAAAAAGGTCAACTAAATTATTAAAAGTAATTTAGTCAATTTTTTTATGTCAGTTGGCTTGAAGGGTATCTTTGTTCACTTTTCAATCTTCAAAAGGTATCATTGTCCAAAAATCAATTAAGTTTTATGTGTATATTCTTTTGTCAAACTTTAGGAATGTCGCGTATTTTACTCATATTCTAATTTGTAAAGCTCGTGTTTGAAGTCTACTGTGTGTGTACACAAACTAATGAATTTAGTAATATAATTAAATAAATAATTGGTAATAGAATAATAGAAGAGATAAAAGAGAATTTATGAAATAAAAATTGACCGGGAGAGTCCGTCCAATCAAACTTTTGATCTGACCAACAAAGACAGACAAATTGTTGGAACTCCTTGTAGAAAAACAAACCCCAACCTCATTCAAGGTACGTGCATCAGCATGACCCTTACGCGGTTTATCCCAACCTCAACGACTGAAATGATGATGAAGTTCCCACAATTGCTTAAACATATTGTCAGCATGTTTCTTTCTTGTTAATCCTCTCTTACCATATATGCTAAACTAGGAAGCAATTAAATGGTTGTCCACAACAAAAGTTTTGTGAAACCATTCTTCAAAGATTTTACCTATGATGATGATATGTCAAAATAATAAACTAAATTTTAAAATTTTATTATATGAGCAATGTCAAAGGCCTAGACAAATTTTATATAAATAAAAAATGATGTCATTGTGATATTACCATGATGTTAATCCTCACTCGAATAAATTAGGCAGATTTGTCCGATTTAAAAATAACCCAAAAGGGACCTCAATCATTTTTGTTAAGGGAAAAAAAAAATTAAAAAAAAAAAAAAATCTACTTGAAGTGTACATGCTATTATGGAAGTTATAGAGTATGAGCAAAATAATTAGTGTATTCACCATCTAGGTGACACATATGGATGTACACCAACCAAAGAAGTTGCATGGTCTTCTATCAATCTAAACTATGCCTTTCATGGTGGCATATGTGCACTCTCAGTGAACACACCCTCTCAACTGTTTAATTCATAAACTTCTTTCAAATCTTGATGCTCTCTCTCCTCACTTTACCTCCATGATATCATGATGCCTTTTCATTTGTATATTTGTTGCCTTTAGAAGGCCCTACTCGGTATCTTAAAATTGGATTCAGAAAAAATTCAGTATAAATTTTGAACTGAATTTAACCTAATACGTTGATTCAATACTCTCAAATATATCAAAATTTGATATATCATGTTAAAAGTGAATATTAAACACTAGTGAAAAATGCACATGGTTCGGTTTGATTTAATTTAGGAATAATAATTTAAGCCTAAACTTATTAAACCACCCAAATTCGTCCATTAAAATTAAATTATCTAGACACTCAAATTTAAATGAGTGTGTAACAATGAATAAAAAGTAAGTACACATATAATTCAATGGTCAATGATGAGTTAAGAGTGAGAATACCCATCTTAACCTACTCAAACAAAATCCTCTTTTCTTTCTCCTCCTTTTTGCCTTTTTCCTTCTCTTTTATCTTTTTCATTTTTTTTTCTCCGTCCTCCCCTTTTTTTTTCTCTCTCTCTTCCCTCTCCTCCCTGCTTCTTTTATTTTCGTTTTTTCCCTGCTTTCTCTCACCTCGCTGCTTCTTTTCTTTTTCTTTTTTTCTTTTTTTTTTTTGGTGATCTCTCTCTCTCTCTCTTCCTTCAAATTTTGTTATGACCAACAATTAATTAAAATTCTTGCTCAAAATTCCTTTTTTAAAATATATGTAATTAATATTGTTGAGTAAGTTGCATAGTGATTTTTTTCAAAATAAATTAAAAAAATTAATTTTAACTCCTGAAATAAAAAAATTAATTAATATTGTTGATTAAGTTGTATGGTGACTTTTCCTGAAGGGAAAAAAAAATTTAATGCTTGAAATCAACAAATTAATGTAAGAACAAATTATTATTATTATTTTTTTCTAGCCATGGATGGTAGGAAAGTAAAAAAATTGCAAAGGTAATAAAAAAATACTTAAATAAAAAAGGTTGGAATGAGTTAACCTGTTTTAACCAGTCCATTTGAACCCTAATCCATTTATGATCCACTATTAGTGGGTTGAAAATGGATTACTGACCCATTCATACTTAACCCATTCCAAGGCCGCCTAAAACTCGCCCAAACCCACTCAATTACCACCCCTAATTTAATTTAATAAAGCAACTCAGTCTTAATGTTATGTAAAAATTAAAATTAAATTGAGCCAATTGAACTCCATAAACTGAATCAATGCGAACCGTATAAGAACAGTTTAAACGATTGGGTTTTACAAATTGAACTTAATTAGCTAAAAATGACATTTAATAATAACCAATTTAGCCTAAATCAAGCATTAATTTATTAATCTTTTATTACTCAGATAAATTTTCCTAGAGTACTTTCTCTCGAGTATATATCTAGTTCTTTTGGCTTCAAAGTAACATAGTTACAATGCCATAAAGAACAAGAATACAAATTTATTGATATATTTATGTGAACAAGAACTAATAAAATTGTTTACTTGCCAATCAAATAATATATATAACCGAATTGATTCAACTTGCTTGACTTCTAAACCAATCTTAATCATTCCATTATTTTTGAAATCAAAATCAAACTGTTGAGCCACCGAATCAAACCAGACCAAAACGTATAGTTCGACTTGTTACAGATCAATTTGATAGTTTGAACAGATTCATGTGCACCCTTAGCTGTAGTTTCAAACATACAAGATCCAAAGTCATTCAGCTTCAACAACCGATATTGCCGACTAAAATGCTGCTATGCTGTGATGGGCTAAATATAATAATATATGTCGTTCATCTAGCCACTGATCATGCCAATTTTTTTTTTTTAAAAAAGCCCTATAGTTTTAGTAGAATTTGAGGTTTCCTATTCTTGTTTTCAATAGAGTATTGCTATTTATTATCTTATAGGTATAGTGTAACAAAGGTCATTTGTCTCATATCGGAATCGGATAAGAAAGTGATTGGGTATAAATGGGTGGGTATGCAGAACTACCCAATAGTTCGAGATTTTGGATAAATGGGTAAACGTCCACCCGTTACAGTTAGTATTAGAACCAGACCCAATCCTTGATCCGGTATCACGCCAAGCGCCAGGCCTGGAAGGAGTCCAGGTTAGCACCCCGGGTAGGCAGGGTGGCCCGTACCGCAACGAGGGCGTTGCGAGTTTGAGTGGGGGAGAATATAACTACGGTCATTTGTTCCAATATCGGAATCGAATGGGAGAGTGATTAAAGAAAATTGTAGATATATATCATTATACCAGGGTACAAGCTACCAATGAACACTGAATCCAAACAACACTTTTGTCAAGTTTAGTGCACAAGCGAACAATAATGTCAGCAAAATACATCAAAACTTGTCCTCTAACCGTCTTGATCAGGCTCTTTTTTCTTTCTTTTTTTTCCTTTTTTTATTTTTATTTTTATTTTTCTTGGCAAATGTCTTGATCAGTTGACGAGCTAGACTATGACACATGCACCACAATGTTTTCACAAAAAGTCAAAAAAGAAAAAAAAGAAAAAGGAAGCCGGAACAAAGTTCCTCGTTTCACATTATTTCGGGTTTTCCTTATACACCAATCAACTCAACTCATCAGTCAGGTGGCATTATTTGTTTCAAAAGGCAGCAACAATCATTCACCTCAATCTAGGCACTCAATTCAATCCTCCATATTTAATGTTTGGTCACATAAAAATTGAGAGAACTTTGATCTAAATTTTCTCCTAAAACACTAATTCCACGTAACCGGATATAACAAAAAAAATAAATAAATATAATTTGAAATCTCACTGACAATGACAACCACACCCCCCTAACCATTTTGGGTGTTTTCTATCCGTCAGTAACAAACAATAGGGATCTCTGTACAAATAACTGACATTAAATCAATAAATAACTAAAATAAGTGCATTTTCTATCCTCCTATTATACATCATCATCTGGTATTTGGGTGTTTCCATGACTTGCGTCACTAAACAGCCAATAAGCATTAACTCGAACTTATCTACTTTCCTAATGCAAAATTGAAGTTTAGTCTGCAAATTGGCTGTAGGCGCCTGCCTGTCTTCATGGATGCATGCCCGCCAACCACTTTCCTTTCTCAGCTTTTGTTCCCAAGGAGAAGATTCAAAACGAGTCCACTCAAACTGCAAAAAGTTTGCGACACTATCTAACACAAGCAAAAGCAGCAGCAGCAGCTCATGGAGTATAATACTGATGGGCAAATGCAGATTCAGCAGCCATCAACCCGACTTGCCCACCTACAACTTCTGAATCCTCATCATCAGCCAATGCAATAGCTTTCGAATCCCCATCACCAGTCAACAGCTTTTAGATCCACGTCTATACCATCAACGGGATGGGATGACTGGGTCGAAATGCAAAACAACTGATATATTGCCCCGGAAAGCACCATCTCTTCTCAACATTGGCAATACCTGCTCCCAGAACAGTAAGCCAAATATAGCCTGATGTTGAGTTGAAACCACCATTAACTTAAAGCCCAACTTCCCAACACCAAAACTAGCACAATCAGGCTTCCATTGCCAAGCCACGGCATAAAGCAGTGGATAACTCCATTCAGAAGTCTCGAGTTTCAAGTAGTTTTTCAACAGAACTGCAAGTTGAACATAATTAACCAAAACATGCACTCAAAAGAGATGATGCTGGTTAAGCACACCATGCAGCCCTCTATGAGGCTTTCTAATGCCCTCCAGCAAGTCCATCCTCTTCAATACGTTGCAACAGATCCTCATAAACCTTCAAGGAGTTAGCTGTAAACCTCTCCATTGCCCCAAAAATAAGTTGCAGACTCACCTGTATACTATTGCTTGTGTCACTCTGATACACAACTTGTCCGGTTACTGAGAGACCACTGTCAACCCCAGAGACCAGAACAATCTTTTTGTCCAACGCCTGGATCTCCTGATGTATTTTCTGGTCCTGTCTCTCCAAGTGCTTAACTTGCCTCTCCGTATCCTTGTTTATTGTCATCCTATGGCGCATTTCTTGTTTATCCCGCTCCCATAGCTGAAGTACACTCGAGGCAAAATTTCGCATAGAATCCACAACTTCTTTTTCAGAGATACTCTCCAATGCTTGCGACCACTGATTACATATCACAAACACAGGGGGTGCACCTATCCTACCAGGAGAGAAGGGAGCAATTCCATCATCTGTATCTTCGGGTTCATACAGAAGACATTTCAGAAGCCAGTTATTCAACGCTTTGACATAACCTTTCTGGGCACCAACCCAACTAGAGAATCTTAAAGTCCAGTTAAGAAGCTCATGTTCAAGCTGCAATGTGGCTTCCAGACGAGCATCACTAAAGTGTTTGCCAGATGCAATGCTATCTAATCTTTTAGCTTCTCCAATAGCTTCACACTGACTATGATGGCACTCAAGCATAGACTTCCACATCTTGGTTAACCTGAACAAAATCCAGATCAGCCGCCATCAGAAAAATCTAAAGCATATAAATTTAAAATCCGTGCACAAAGAAAAATGTTATTGAGATATTAATCAGTATGCCAGGAAAAAGTACCAACTGGTGTAAAAAACTGGGAAAAGCAAATAAAAAATGTTCCATAAATGTTCTTCATTTTATCCTATTTCAAGGAATCAGAGCAATGGGCAACCTGTACAGCATGCTCACCTTGTTCCTCGTCCCCTCTCATTTTTCCACAAGAAGATGGTTTAGATGTTAATTTGTTAACAGAGAAAACAAAGACATACAAGCATACACAAAAATATAACCACCCTGAAAGTGGGAGCTTAAAACTTAAACTAGTAACTAATGAGCCCATAGATGTTCTCACACATTCACATACGTTAACATAAATACCTTCATTGAAGGCAACCACACAGTAAAAACGAGTAACCCAAATAATGAATTAATAAAGAATAAATAAAATAGACTTCACAGGGTAAGCTTCACTTTTGTGGTTGTTCTCATGCATATCCAAGTAATTGTGGTTCTTGAAAGAGATGCATTTAATAGACAGATGAAATCACCAATACACAATATAAGATTTTCCTTCTTCAATCAAGGACAGGAATGCCAACATAAAAGAAAATTTAATTGATGTGGTTTCTCTATGATGATCACAGACTTGAACAAACAGTTCCATGAATAAAAAGAGGCACCCTATCAATCATTTTGTAAATAAAATTAATCATGCCAATCCAGCTGCAATTTAACTACTATCTTGAATATTAAGTTATTAACTGGTCCCTAAATGGAACAAAGAGCTCAGTGGCCAGAAACAGCAACCATGCTATAATTGACATGCCTTGTGGAGGTTTCCACGACCTTCAAGCACATCCTGCTTATTTACCAACAAAAACAGAGACTAAACATGATTTTTTTTTTTTTTTAAATAAGTAAATAAATAAATAACAGAGACTAAACATGATCAACATAGCAAGCAACAAATTCAGTGAATAGAGATTTGGATTTTGCTACTATCTTTCCTTTTCCTTTTCCTCCTCCTGGGTACAAGGGAAGAGTAGGCAATACAAGAAGAATGGGGCCAATAACACAAGTCAAAACTACACTTTTTACCTTCAATTCCATGCAAAAAAACATAGAGAATAATAATACGGGTTCATTGAAATCAAAGTCATATCACACGATATACTGTATAAATATGAAGGGAGAGGGAAAAAAAAGGTGTGAACATCGTGAGTAACCCTACTGCTAACCATGCACTTAACCAGATAAAAAATCAAGGATCGTGGGGGCCAAATCCTGCAAGGCCCTTAAAGGCACGTGGATTGGCAGGCCCAGATGTAGAATTGAGGAAATGAAACACAAAAAGAAAAAGAAAATAACAAATAAATAAAAAATGATCATCACTAACTAAATAAATAAGTAATAAATAATGATCATCAATAAGGTGGCCCCCTTTGATGGCACAAATACCTGAAAATAGGCATGAAATAATAATCCATGTAACATATTATAAGATTTACGGGTTTGTTCTTGTCAGTGAAATTTCATAAAGCTTATTATTGGACCTCAGAGAAGAAATAAGAACAAACACAAAAAAAACAATTGAATTAAAAGTTCTCTTCCCCCACCATCCTAATGCCAAACCTTAACTCAATAACCTCATGTTCTATCTTGTTTCTTCTCCTCATAGGCTCATATGTCCTCCTTCGTTTTTTGGATTCACTCTTTTAATGACCAAAAATGCAAAGAAATTTCATAAAGCTTATTATTGGACCTTAGAGAAGAAATAAGAACAAACACAAAAAAAACAATTGAATTAAAAGATCTCTTCCCCCACCATCCTAATACTAACCTTAACTCAATAACCTCATGTTATATCTTGTTTCTTCTCCTCATAGGCTCATATGTCCTCCTTCGTTTTTTGGATGCACTCTTTTAATGACCAAAAATGCAAACAAAAGTAGAACTCAATAACCTCTAGTTCTATCCAATTTCTTCTCCTCATAGGCTGGATTCACTCTTTTAATGACCAAAAATGCAAAAAAAAAAATAGAGCTCACAGATACAAGAGAAGAAAACTATTTACTATTCCCCTAAAAAAACAAATGGTAAGGCTAAAAATTGTATCCCTTGAGGCTTGGAAAAAGGGCAAGGGCAAATGAAAGAGGCTCCCGCCATCACGGGATCTGGGGAGGTGAGATGTACGCAACCTTACCTCCACATGCGGAGAGACTGTTTCCTTGTTTCGAACACGTGACCCCCAGGTCACAATGGAACAACCTCACAGTTGCACCAAGGCTCGCCCTCCTTGAGGCAAGGAAAATCATTCAGAAAACCCAACTCCATGTAAGTGATTATTTTCAGACTTAGGAGTAACATTATGCAGGAATAAAGAAAGTACAAAAGAGAAAATAATAAGCTGAGAAGAGCTAATGCAAAACTCACAGAATTTACATACCCTTGAATGAATTCATTTAGTTGCGGCCACAACTCTTCATCCCTCAATTTATTTATCTTCACAGAGATTTTATCAACAACCTGGATCGCAATTCTTATTTTTGTGGAAAGACTCCTGACCAAAGTTCTTGTGGTGTCAACTTTGTGAGCCTCAGCACCCTTTTCATCTAAACGCTTTAACCTTCGGGACTTCCTCTCATGGAGTACCCTCATTTTTTCCTCAACCTATAAAGAGCATAAACATTGAAAAAAACTCAATGAGGAGCAAAATATAGAGAATAGTAGAAATATGAAACTCATCCAAAACAGCAGTATGCTTTCAGGTTACATCCAACATCCATGCTAATTAGTGAATTGCACATCAAATATATACAAATATGTAAGAGCTATAAACCTACTTAAACACCTAGGAAAACAAATGATGGAAATTCAGTTACCCTATGATAGTGTGTGTATAGTTAAATACAGCCCTATATATATAGGGAAAGTAAGAAAGTGTTGTTCCCAACCCCAAAACATTCGAGAACTTGCGGTAAGGCTTTAGCGGAATGAGTTGATCGAAAAGATAATGCATGCAATAAAAGCCACTACTCTGGGATTATGGGCATATGGGGCAACCATTGAGGGATAAACAACTTATTAAATAGAGAATAGGAGTAGGTAAGAAAAGAAATGTTCAAGAAGCCAGATTGGTAAGTGAAGCTCAAAGAGAAATAGGAATTTAACATGTTTCTGTATCCACGGAGTTCAAAAATTGTGCCTCCTTTATCATTCTTAAAAGAAAAAAAGTGTCTGTGAGATCAGTCTGGAAACAGAACACATATCATCTCCAGTACCAAAAAACTCAAAACGTACAAATGCAAATTGACATGTGTTCAGTTGTATGTATCAGAGAAATGTATTGTACAATAACAAGCTATGTAACATGGTCTCTTTACAAAATATAGCCTAATGTACTTGTGTCGGACATGAAACACTTGGACATGGATATATGATATTTATTTGACACAAAGTTGGACATGCATTTACAATATTTCAAGTTTATTGCATAATTATACATAAAACTCTCTTAATATATTCCTTTCGTCCACTTTATTACTTTAAGATGATTGAAAACATCATTTTATCCTAGAAAATAAATTTAACAAATTAAATAATACAAATATTTAGCCGTGCCTCCATGTCTTTGAGTTTTAAGATTTATAAATCTGATGCTTAGACACAGATCTGAACCGACACAAGTACCCGAGTCCATGTAAGAGAGATAACAAGTCCATAGACATAGAAACTTTCAAGTGCTAGCAAAAGTGCATCAGATGGATCATATACATACATGCAGAAGAGCGCGCATGCATCTATGAACGTACATTCATGTTTAAATTATCCATGAAATTCACAATAGTTAAACATTTCTTTTTTTGGTAAGTTTTAGTTTGTAGGTCAATCCCAATACGAACTAAAGCCCATACCCACCGCACCACTTGGTTATGTAAGTTCTATCTGGATGGCTGTTCGTCAGCAAAAACATTTCACAAGAAAAGAGTTCAGCAAATATGAAATTAACTACAGAAATCAACAGCATACCTTAACCTCCTCATATAGTTTCTTCTCCCAAAGGTAGAGCTTCTGTAAGGTAGAAGAAAGATTCCCAGACTTCATCCCCACATCTTCGCCAATATCCAAGTACGCAGGATCAGCCTTCTCAATTGAGGATGCGGACTCAGCAGTTTTAGAAGTAGAAGCCTGTGAGGTTACTACCGACATTGAAGGAGTAACTGCATGCAACATCTTGGACGACACTGCTCCAAAGAACCACAAAAACAAATGTTAGGGCACAAATCCCGATTCAATCAAACAGATCATTTTAAGTACAGTCTCAATGTGCACAAATAAATCAAGAGAAAGTTCAGTGATCCTTGTGTAGAAGTTTAAAGATATCAATTTGACCACCAAAAAAAGGATATGTCCGTAACTTTTTGTAAATCAACCAAACTGACGACCATAAAGACTACAGAAGGTGTTCAAAAATTAAACTTCTTGCAAGGAGCCTTATAAACCTCAGAAAATAAATTACAGAAAAATACAATCCATTACATTGATATGAGGCGTCCTATTATTCTCCGAAAAAAGGTATGGCATCTCTTATTCAATTTCATTTTTCTTTTTGTCCTTTTTTTGGCACAAAAGAAACATTTTACAATATAATAGTAACTTTAAATAATATATATTATCTAAAAATATTAAACCTTCAAGAGAGTAGTTGATCTGGTTTAACAAGTTGAACCAATTGCAAACTCATGTGTCACATGAAAGAGAGATTAATCAGACATGAATTATACAAAAGATCCAAATGAAAAAATGTTATTGAAGCATCAATTAAGTTATAAATGATTTGGTCCTGCTGGGGCTAGCCTATATCGCTGAATACACTATGCAATCATTTGTGATGACAGAATCCAATCATGGTTGAATCAATATATCCTAACCTAGACTTCAGCATTTTAACATTACAGAGGGGGACAAAAAAGGTTGGGCAGTGAACATGTCAAGATGACTTTTTGATATTATTCTTGCAAGCATTCGCATCATGTATGAAATAACCAAGCTGACAGTCCACAAAGACAATTAATTGCTCAAAAAGAAGAAAAGGTGTCAAAAAATCGAACTTCTTGCAAGAAGTACGATTCTCAAAAGATCAATTACAGAGGAATACAATCCTTTACCTTGATATGAGGCATTTTTACGGCGATGTGTATGTGGATATTTTCCGGCCTCAAGCATCTTGGAAAGGCCCTCCCCTGACGCCGAAGCTCCCTCAAACCCGACCTTAATTTCCCTTACAACTTCGGAGTCACCCCTTAAACGCCCTCCAGCCTTAAAAGCAGGCACATTGCCCCGATCCCCGGACTTCTCCTCATTATCGACAACTTTTTTGTCCACTACGTGCACCTCATACTCTGCACCGTGGTTCTCCATTGATACGCTCGGCCTCGTGTGGTAAAACGCCTCAGAATCATTCACCTTCCCGTCGTCGTCTACCACAGCCTTTGCATAATTTTTACCACCACCACCACCATCCATGAACTTGTGATCTCCGTCTACCTCCTTAACAACTTCTTGCTGGTAATCCTCATCTTCCAAATCGGGGATTCCCTCCTCCTCTCTCACCTCCCTGGAGTCCCTACTGGGCGTATACGGAGGATAATACTTCTCATAAGTCTCGAAAGGGTTCAAAAAATCCCAAGCTGAGCTCGATGGCGGCGAGGGTGGAGGCGGAGGTGTTTTCGAAGACGAAGCCGACGACGAAGTCATAGCACCAACCGGAGGCAGCTGCTGCGACGAGGAACCATAAGGTGGCGATGAACCAAAGAAACCATTCATACCACCGCCGCCGGCATAACCATTCACACCACCACCATAATTCGACGTGTCGTAATATGAGTAACCACTAGGGGTTTGATTCGAGTAAGGATAAGGGTAGTACGAAGAAGAAGATTCGCCCATTTGCACAGTCTCCGTACTCATCGGCCGTTGCTCGTACGACACCGATTGTGTCGCTTTATTCTTCATATAATTCATGTTCATAAATCCACCTGAATATGAACCACCTGGATACGATCCACCTGGATACGAACCTAGGGTTTCATGATCCGCATAATTCAACTGACCATAAGGATGCTTCATAGGCGAAGAAGAATCATCCAGATGGTGATGCAGAGAGTCGGAACCGGAATCATCATCGTCGTCAGAACCGGAGTGGAAGTGCAGATGCGAACCGGAGCTAGAGTGAGAGTGATGAATAGCGGCCTTGGGCGAACCGGACGGTTCGGGATCCCCTTTCCGCTTAGTCGGAAGATTGAGAACTGGCGAAGGCAGATCGGCGGTAGAATTGTCGAGATCTCGATCGAAAAATTTGTGCAGAGAGAGGCCAACATCATTGAGCGAGTGTATATAGGCGACGTGAGCTTCGGCGAGTATGTAACGCTGCTGAATCGCTTGGTCGAGGAATTCGCACCGCTGACGGCAGAGCACCACCGCCGGAAGGTCGTCTAGCTTAGACGTCGCACAACCCATTTAGATAGCCAATGAAGTGATGAAAAGAAACTAAAGAAAATTATCAAGAAATCAACAAAGACATGGCCGTGGATTTAGGGTTTGGAGGGGGAGGAAGGACAGAGGAGGAATCTCGCCAGCGCGGAGTCTGTCGTCGGCTTGTAGCAGAGAGAGAGAAAATGTATAGAGAGAAAGCTGCAGTGTGTACTTTTTGAGGTCACGCTCTTTTTTTAAACTAATAAAAGGGAGGATTATACTGAACTTGGTAATGGTTAGTTAGCCACACGACGTCGCTTCCAACGTATTCTATATTTTTTGGGGGTGAAGTTTCTAGAGAGAGAAAGAGTGGGTTTCTTGAGAGAGAAAGAGCGGTGTTTGTTGTTGACGGGGGACTTTGACGGCTATTGACGGCATGACGTTTCTTCAGTTTTTTGAGACGGTCGCCACGTTGATATTCTGAAAATACCCTTCTTGTTCGTTAAAGTTACATAACAACCATCTTCGGCTTTTCGTAGGTAAATAATATCATATGAAGTCTTCTTTTGGAAACCGCGTTGGTTTTTAACTTTTTATGTATTTTTTTTCAAATATAACTTATAGACTCAAGTGTTTAGAAGTTTTGCACAATTTGGATTTTGGTTGCTTTGTGTTGCTATCAGTATGTTTGACAGTTGACAATTGAATTGATTATATCAGTAGGTGTTTTTTTTTTCGTAATTAATTATATTAGTAGGTTACTGGTGGATTTCTTAAGAATCCGTTTTTTATATTAATTTTATTTAAGTAAAAAATAAATATGAGTATTAGGCTCTAATTAAATAGGGCAACATTTATTTCATTTCTCAAAAAAGAAAATTGATGGTTCCATTACAAATTAGAAAATATGAATAGTTGAATTTATATATATATATATATAAAGAAGAGACGGAAAAGAAAGCCTAACCAGCTAGTATTTTGTAGGAAGAGATGGAAAAGAAAAGTAGCAAATGGTCTTTTCCACGTTTGGAAGAGGAAAAGAAAGGGATAAGAGACTTCCTCCCGACTCACCGTATCTCCCGTCATTATATTTATTATTGGTTCCTCAATTAACCCCTGAATAATTATAGTTCCAGGTAAAACAAAAATTTACAGGGTTTTACTCATTAGTCAATCCAAACACCTCCCAATCACTGCATGAAAAGTGTATGATCTCCTTTTTTTCATGAAACATGGATCCTGTATGATAACGTTAAGAGACCCCACAATCACTCATGAGAGTAACGGAAGATTTGGTGACCACTGTTATATTATTAGCTCACCATTACAAAATCAATAAAGCAAAACCTACAAATTAAATGAGTAAAATCAATTAGATAGTTAAATTATGAGTTACTACTACTGTTGTGTTGGAGGTGACTACCAAAAAAAACGATGACAGTAAAGTTAGCATCTCATGCATGACATTAAGGTGTAAGAATGGCAGATATATAAAAGGTGAAAGCAAGATGGGGACCATTCCGTAAACAATTTGAGTATTTATGGTTTTGGACCGTTTGGGAGATCAATTTGTGAGCGTGTGTAAGAATCCAGAACTACTTTGCAGACCAAATAAATAGAGAACTCATTCTGTCCAGGGTAATGTGTATGTACATCTGTAACCTCTCGTATCATTTATATATGTTTCCAAAAATTGTCAAAAATTATGTTTGGAACTGGAATCGGAAGAATTTATAAGGACAATAATAATATATTGTTAATTTCTTAAAACTCAAGTACAATGACATATTTTCTTGATCGTGAGTGACTTTGTATGTATTTGTCTTAGTAATTTTTTTGAGATTATGTTGTATGGATAACTAGGAGGGACCCATTGATTATGAACACCCAACAACAAAAAAAATAAAAAATATAAAGAGTAATAGTATTAACCTCATTTACTGGAAATAAAAAAAAATAAAAAAAAAAGATTTTATTTAACCTCTTTCATGTTTGAATAATTGAAGAAGAAAAATAAGTTGTGATATCCCTTTTATTAGGATTAAAAAGCACCGATTAATTATTAAAATTGTGTCATGTTACTTAAAATTTACGAATATAATTGAATTATTATACAACACCTAACTTTGTCCTCTTTTCATTCTAAATTGCTCACTTTGAAAGGACAGATAAAATACAAAATACTATTTAAAGGATGAGTCTATATCTCATTTTCTATTTCAATCTACATTTTTCTATATCAATTAAAACAAATATAAGATAAACAATTCCTCCTTTTTTTAAGTATTTTCTTTCTTCTTTCTCAAAATCCTTCATAGTTCAAAATTGAATTATTATTCAATACCCAAGGGACGCTTGATTTGTAATTATGAAAACAATTTTTTGTTCTCAAAAAACTAAAAAACTAGAAACAATACAAAAATTTTTGCTTGATTCAGTTTTTAGAAAACTCAATTATAAAAATACGTATTTTCATATAACTATAAAAGATTATTTTATGAGAACGTTTTATGTTTTCTGTCTTCTGAAGAACGATTTGTCTCCTTTCATTCGAAGTCTCTCAATTTGAAAACAACACTATCTCTCATTTTAAGGTATATAAAATGAGACGTGCTGTGAAAATCAATTTAATTGATACTTTTAATTTTAGCATAGCCCAAAACTGGATTTTTCAAGAATTATTGGATTTAACCGAATGAGTTAGGAATCCAAATAAAAATGAGGTCGAGAAATAAATATGTGTCAATTACATGGGCAAAGTGGTAAAATTATTCGTCCAATAAACTGAAGAGGTCAGCAATTCTAAAGTCACAATCAAACATTGACCACGCCTCTTCTCTTCTCAGTCTTCCACAATAAAGAATGGAGTTACAAACCGTGACCAACTTAGTTTTGTCTTACGCCGCGTACTGTGTGAACGAGTTTCCAAATTACCAAAACAGCCTTGGACACATCTTTCTCCAAATGGCTCTACTCCATGCAATTCAATGTCTTTTTCATTTCTCTTTCTTTGGTAATTACAACATATAATCTTATCGTTTCTGAAAATTACATTTTCATCAAAAAATGTGGAGAGGTTTAAAAAATACCATTTAATGAAGATAAAGCTAAAAAATATATAATTTTAGAGAATATTCTTCTTAAAAATCTAAAATCTTTTTTGTGTTTTAGAATTTTAAAAACCATATCTAGATAATTAAGTAAAAGGGCTCATTATTTCGGAAATAATGAACTAAAAAGGAAAACTACTATTTTCAAAATCGTTATTTCAAGAGATAAAAAATCAAACTTATTCAATTTTTACCGTTGGAATTAGGTTGTTCATAAACTTGAACCCTCACCGGGGCATGATATTGTTGAGTCATGGATTGATTAATATGCTCATGCACGAACAGTCCCAATATGGAATGTTATGTGTTAGTTGGCACTCCAATACATTATTCCTTCTAAAAGTGTTTTGTATTAGTTTATAAATACAGATCATGGTGGTAACTATATATCAATATATGTGGCATTTCTTTTCGTCTGATGATCTGTTAATGAATGGTCCAATCTTTTTATAATCACCCACTTTGATTTCAATTTGTTTGATATGTGATTCATAATCCTCCAACAATGTGAATCACACTCTTTTTATTTTATAATCATCCATGTCGCGGTGTCACCACATTGAATTTGCACCAGTTTAACTTTTACTATCATGAGATTTGTTTGCAAGTGATTACTTTCTTATTTTTTTTAATTATTTTGTGTGAGCTCAGTTTCTGAATCAGACTAATCCGAAACACATGCTCAAAGTTGTAAAGAAAATGCCTCTCAAAAAATAAGAATATTTTTTTTGACTACTCACTTATAATAGGGTTTGAAATATAATAATTTGGCCGTGGATTCATTTCGGTCTAAATTCATGTTGCAATATCAAGTTGAGTTTGACTTAACTAAATATCGTGTTTGTGTGTATATTGGGATAATACTAATTAATTTCATACATGCTTAAATTCGAATCAATCTAGAATATCATATATTTTTCTTCAATTTAATGATTAATGAAATTATAGAGAGATGGTTCGCTATATTATCCGATACGCTATTATTTTTTAAGTATGATATGCGAATCGTATCGATCAGTTTGTACTAACTTTGTCTGAGTTCATTATACCGCGATCGCGACCATAATCGATACTAAGAAACATGAAAGATTGATATAGAGAAGGAATATTGGACGGAGAGTTGTACTCCTGTCAAAGGATGCACCATTTATAGACAACATTCCTCCCTTTTGATATAGGCCGGTGGACTCACTAAACCTCTCAACTTTATTATGCCTACATTAGTCAATTGGAGGGTTGACATTTTGCTAGATTTTGTGCCAAATGGAGGGTTCACATCAAATTCGGATCTAAATTCCATTAAAACCTAATAATCATTTTTTCCCTTACCAAATAAAAAATCTAACATAATATAACATTAATTTACACGTTAAAACCTTATTTTAACGTTTGTACGGAAATGGAATTACATTTGGTTGTCAATTTATGGAATTCAGACTTAATAGTATATTAGTATTATATGTGAAAGATCGGATTCATATTTATGGTCGAATTTGAATAAGAAACTTTACTTCCATATTTGCACCAATCCAACTTTGGTAACTGTACTAACGCCAGACAATAGGTTAGCATCTTTAGTGCCTAGCTTCCATATGCATGTTACTATACTATTTCAAATATACACACACACACACACACATATATATATCACTATTTCACATCTGTTTCTTCTAGAGCCCACGTGCATAAAGGTAAAGAAACAAAAGACCTTTGTATATTCAAGGTTGGTTCAACATAAAGTTAAACCTAGAATTAATTTAATTACTAGTAATTTCATTCTTGCAAGAGAACCCTAGCTAGCTTTCAGATGGCAGTTTATCTACTTTGATCAGTCCATTGCTTTTCTTGTTTCACTCCTCTAATATTTTCACCAAGCTTTTCCAATTTGCGACGATTTGGTAGCTAACAGTTAAATTAAGAGTGTTTCACAATTAAAATCAAGGGTAAAGTACAACCACACCCTCTGAGGCTTGACAAAAAGACATTTTGAGGAAATTTACCTCTTTTTTTAGACAAAGACACCCCTTGAAAGTTCAAAAATGAACAAAAATACCTATTTACATGAGAAATTGACCAAATTACCCTTTGACCCGTTTAGGAGACTTTTTTAACTTTACAATTTAATAAATTGGACCAATCTACCCTCATGAATA